ATGTCTTAATTTAAATATTTCTCTGATTACTTATTAATTATAACAATTAAAGGTATTATGAAAAAAAATTAAAGCCAACGGTTGACAAGAGGGAAATGTGCTGATGTTCTGATTAGTTGTATGTTTGTATGTATGCATACCTTTGAGACTACAGTATATAATTGATTTTCACGAGTGCAGTAACATTCGATTCGTAGTCTTCCTCTGAATTTCATAGGGTTATAATTCGTCCGTCTCTTATGGATTTTTTTCTATTTACATTTTATTTGACAATGGGCTGAGGTTTGACATATATTTGAAAGTTGTTCTGATATCGTTACCCTCAGAATATTGAAGTCAAGAACAGGCGCGTGTGGGTCGTCTCCACAAAGCCTCCACCGGCCTCACTCCGCCAGCGCCAAGCCACCACAGCGGCACACTGTCTGTAAATTATGGTGTTGGTCAGCTTTGTCAGTTGCCGCCGGACGACAAACAGTCGTAAACTAACATGGATAAGATGGAACCTTATATTTTAGGTGAAATTAGAGCATGTTAAGATCAAACCGTAATAAATAATTCAAGTAAAATGACTGTTGTAATGTTGTTAATAACAATAATGTTATGGTGATTAAATCAATACACTTATATTAAATCTGTTTGTTTAGAAGTTAAGTTCATTCAATTAAGTTACGCTAAACTAAGACAATATAAAAACTAAATAATATAATACTAGTTTTGAAATAGTCATGTCCATGCGATATCGCGTCGTTTGTTGTGTTGTGTCCGTGGGGCCTGCGAGGGGTGGTGCTGGGTGCGGGGGGGGGTCGTTTGCTGAAGTCAGCGGCGATTTTCAGACATTTGTCTTAGATCCTCTAGCGACAGCAAAAACTACGTCCAGAGAACTGACTATATAAAGTATTGTGTTTTCGAATCAGATATTCGATATTTGCTGTACATTTTTAAAAGCGCTAAATGTTTCAGTTTTTTTTTGACCTCTTTTCACTTACCTGACTATTAAAGTAAACAGATAAGGTATCCGAGATCAAGTTCCTTTCTCTTAGGACGAGCTGGTAGTGAGCAGAGATGATGTTAGATGTTATGAGAGTGTCATCACCACCTACCAGCACCAGGCAGCAGTTGCCATCAATCAGAGTTCAGTCTGCAGTAGGCAGTAGTTGTGTGGGCGTGTGTCTGAGGGCGTCGGAAGGCTACAGTAGCAATACTGTTTCAACCAATAGCGGCGCGCGACGCCCCCCCCCCCAGCGCCCGCAACTGTTGCCTGTCGTAGCCTCTGCGTAGCCACCGCGTAGCTACACGGCTACACAGTGTCTACGCGGGTGGGAGGGTCTCACTCCCGCAAGAGAACTCTTCATTTGTTACTTTTAGCGAAAGCTTTGATGTGGAGACGCCCATTGTGTTGTGATACGATGTTATTATAGACTGCAATAAACTTACTAAGAAAACATATTTTAACTGAGTGCTTATTAGTATGAGACGGTCGCTGCGGTGTGACTTCATTGTGACAAACACGTTCACAAGCAGACAGACATAGAGAATATGACTCAAGCCATCACATTAGTATTGACACCATTAGTTTCAACGTTCAAAGCTAAGGAATTATGTTAGGTCGACATCATAACTTGTGTTTAGGTTTTTCTTAGAATCTACATCAATGTCAAATGAAGACAAAAATAATTAGGTTAAATACAAGCACGTACTGAGAATGCAAATTAATGCTTGTAATAAATATCTACGTGAATTACAATAAAGTTCAAATCAAATTTAATCTCTCTTTACATTGCTCCGGAAATGTTCAATTATTTTTGCAATTAAAGAAAATAAACTAATTTGCTTCCATCACGAAGTGCTTGGAGAAAAAACACTCTACAAGTAGAAAGTGCAAACAGTTTAGCAATTACAACGAGAACAAGAAGCGCTCGGGGCCAGCCGGGGGAGGGGCGGGGGTGTCACGGGGGAGGGCGGGGGGGGGGGGGGGAGGGGTACGGACTATATTCAAATTGCGAACATTTCATTTTAACGCTTTGCGAAGATATGCCGCTACACTCCCACGGTGCTCCAGGACAGGCATGACCGCGCTCGTACACACAAAGTATCGATAGACTGTTTGCCGCTTTTTTTCTTTCTTTTTTCTTCTGATATTTCCATCATATTGAAAGAAACCATCATCATATAGAAACTGACGTATCTTACGAACCATCTCAAACTGGTAGTTCATTAGTAAGTTCGTTCGCTTCTGTGTACTGTCGTATGTGTGTTGCGTCACGGCGACTGTCTCAATAGAGAATATCACCTCGTCCTCGTCTCCGAATAGTTATGTTAAAAGCAAACAAAGCATTAATGGATAAAGTAGTTTCTGTTTGTTCACTTTTGTAAATGACGATACAAAAATGTGGATACCCATTAGATATTCTATGTTTGATAATTTGTGTAAACATTTCAAATTAGTACAATAACCTGTTCCATTTTAAACTATTTGTTCAAACAGAAAACAGTAAATTCATTTCTGCTTTGACGCAAATGTTGATGCAAAAAAATATATTTTCAAGCTATCGATAGTGTCTGAGAAGTTACAAAAAAACTGAGTTTGTCTCAGTACCAGTGTGTTATGAAATGGTATAAAATGATATATCCTTGCAGTTATCGATGAATAAGTCGTGTCGTGTCACATCACTACTCCAAGTTGAGACGTTTGCGAAATGTGAACATTTCGCGAATTGATCTCCGCCTGAGGAATTCTCATTTGAGACGAGACCTCGCTCCCCTCCCGCTGCCCGACCCCTGAACCGCGACCTC